CTTTTGACTGTCTCTTTAAGACTTTGGCAAGTATTTTGGCATACCTAGGTTATATTCTGTTCTTGTCAGTGTTGCTTATTGCTATGGCAACACTAATCAATCATCATGCTAAAAATAGGCCTTTCATTTTTCAAGAGGTTATCTGTAGTGAATTGAAAATGAACTGCAGTCTGTGTTTTCTGTATGCTGCTTTCATTTCACTTTATTTTAGTCTGGAAATACCCATGCTTATGTGCGGTAATTACTATTACAGACTCCACCTATTTCACTGGTTACTCTCTTGAGCTTTAAATCTCTCCTACTTTTTCCAAAAAAGGTGCCAAAAATAGTAAGTTTAAAAATAAACAAACAAAGCCCCCAGAGTAATCTCTTTGTTTCTGAGTGTCACAGGTCTACTGGCTTGTAACACAGCTAAAAAAATCTGCAGGTGACAACACAAAAGATGCCTCTTTTGAGAGCTTTACACAAAGAAAACCTTATCATTGAAGACACTGGGATTTTTTGTCCTAATATGTAGCTTTTAAGTCTATTTTTAAGTTAAATATTCAGTTTGCCGGTATTTTTTTTTTCCAAGGGGAACCTTGCAAGCTGTAGAGACAGTGAAATGGAAAATTGGAAGCAGTTCCCTGTGCATTCTTGTGTGTGCTTGGCGTATCGATCGCTGCCAGGGCTGTGCTGGAAGAACACACACCCCGGGGGAGGCAGAGCAGGGAGGGAGTGGTGCTTTGAAAAAAAAAAATCTCCTGTACGGTTTATTCCCTCCCATTCCTTCCCAGTTTGATTCTGACTGTTGCATAGCACTTCTAATCCCTGGCTAAGTAAATATGCAGCCACTTAAGGAGGGGAGAAAAACCAACAACTTTTTTCATGATGAATAAGAAAGTCTTTTGAATGATGCATAGACATTTTTCTGGTTCTGCCAGAGCCCTCTGCCAATTAGTCAGAGTGCAGCTGATGATTCATGAGACACATTCTGTGAAATGTTCAAAAATTTGGACCCTGCTAAGTGTTCCTGAAAGCCAGCAAGACCCCCCACAGCTGCTAAGGCAGTGGTTGCCAGTCCCCTGAGTTTCTGAGAGATATATTTCCAATGGAGTACTTTTTAGTGAATTTCAGTTTTCATTTGCGGTCACTTCATGTTACCATTTTTAATTACATTCAAATTACATTGTTATGGTCCTCGCCTTTGTAATGAATACACAGGGAGGTTGACTTTTGATAGCTTTGTGCAAAGAATTACTTTCTGCTCTCTAATGAGGTGGCTTGAGGTAAATGGCACTTACAATTTTTCTTCTATAATACACTGAAGATCCTTAGTCTTTTCTTAATGTTTCTTTTTTGAAATACCAGACTAAAAGATCTCTTTTTTTTTTTTTTTTTTTTTTAAACCATGTTGTGGGTCACAGGAAACAACAACTAGATTCAAGCAGGGGCTTGCTGAGCTGCTAACGCAGCCTGAGTTCCATGTCTGAGATGGCTGCATGTCAAAGTACCATGAGCTGAGTCATTGCTAGTAAACTCAAGACAGTGGTTGAAAATAGCAGATATTTTTTCATAGAACATAAAAGGGGAATCTGGCATTTGACTTTATTCACAATTTCCTCTAAAACTGTAGCCATATTTCAGATCAACAGCAGAAAGGATTTTCATATTTGTACTTTTATCCTCTGCTATGTCTGGAACTGTGACCTAACAGCAACTGTTTTGATAAAGAAAAATGGTTTTGTGTGTTCAAAAATGTACTCCATCCAATAACTTCTGAATCCCTATAGTTAGATCATACATAAAGATACTTTAGTCAGAACCAGAGATATGGAACTGATTTGGTTAAGGATGTTAGCTTTGTATTAGCTGTGAATGTGGAAGATGCTGCAATGAAGTTCCTTCTGTCAACGGATTTTTCAAACCTGACACTGGGACCATGAGAGCAGCCCAGTTCCTGTGGTAGACTCTGCTACTGCTTAAAAGAACTGAGACAACTGCACTACCTGGAGCCGCTGAGGTCAGCACAGTCAGGGCCCTTTCCACAGCCACTGAAGTTTCCAACAAACCACTAGACTCAGACTGTAGAACTTAAGAGTTTGCAAACTCACAAAGATCTCAGCTAGATGCTCCATCTACTCAAACATTATAGGCTTGGCAACCCTTCCAATAGAGATAGATCATTACTATCATTTTGTTTTTATCAATTACTAGATTTTGTTTAGGGGGTGTTGATTTTGTTTCATTATGTAACAAAGAAAATTAAATTTTGGTCCTGAAATCAAGGGGGCAGATACTCAACATGTACTAACGTGTGAGTAAAACATGGCCTAGAGCAGTAACCTTGAAATATGCAGACACACAATATGCTAGAAAACTGTTTTCCTAATACCTGTTATAAACAATTAGTACATGGTAAATAGCATGGCTTACATCTGTACCGTTTTCAGTGGAAATGATTCTAAAAGCTATTACCCAGAGCAGTGCAGTACCAGTTGTTACTGCCTTCAGTTGGCAGCACTAGTAACGGCTGATAAACAAGCTCCTCCTTGGCAGGCTCCTCCTGGTCCCTGGGGGCTGCTTTCCCAGGGGGTGCCCGCATGGTTGCTGTCAGCTCTGCACACCTGGATTGGGGCCCCTGTAGTTACACATCTTTCTAAAATACAAGGCTGCCATATACTACATTTTTGAGACCAATAACCCATGTTTTTACCACCGTAGCACTAATGTAGTTATTTTCCAAATGCTCTAAAATCTGTGCAGTAGATGTCTGTTGTTAGGTTGTACTTTTTTTTTTTTTTTTTTTTTTTTTAAATCTGCTTTTCATGATCCACCTCCAGTAGTAATTTACTTTTCAACACTCCGTGTTCTCCCACAAACACGGAAACCAACTAGAATGTTGGTTTATGCTTTTTGAATATGAATCCTCTGAGTGACATCAAACATTGTTTTAGAACATGCTGGTGTCCCTGCGCCTCCTGGGTCATTCCCTGTTTTCGGTAATATCCTATTGATAACTTTTCTTGCTCTAGAAACATTTGAATATAGAATTCTGTTAATCAACCCCTTTTATTCATCTCTTCTTCCAGTGAATACAGTTCAAGGATGTTCATTCCACCTTTTGGTTAATTTAGGAGATAAAAATTACAACCATAAGACAAACCTTGGCTTTTTTTTTTAAACAAGTTATTCTGTAGTGCCTACTGTTTGCTAATGCTTCTGTTTGCAGATGCCTTTGGGTGTCTGCCAGAATAGGAGCAACATATTGAGATATGTGGTGAAACCTCAATTGGGAGAATATCTGGATTTCTTTGGTGTTGATTTGTGTTACAAGATCCCTGGTTCTGACAGACCGCTTATAAATATTGTATATGTTCAACATAGGAAATGTTTAATTGCCCACAGACCCTGGGTAATAGGAGCCAGCAGATCTCCCGCTGAACTCACCCCATCCTGCACTCACATGCTGCTGATATTTTTTTCCTTTTTTTGCCTCCCACGTTCCCACTCAATGAAGACGTTGCATAGCTGAAAGCTAGTCACAGTTCAGATTGGACTGAAATTCATAAATGTGCTACTCCACAGAAATCTGTAATAAAAGGCAAAACATTTATAAGATCTGAGGAGAAGCTTGTGCAGTCTAAGCATCTGCAGCACCAACATTTTATATGGGAGCATTTATTATGTTACTGGGAGACAGTTTGGCCAGAAGCTTTCCAGGGCACCAGAACCTTATTCTGGCAAAACTCTCACTCATTTTTTCAAAAAAGATTGATTCTAGATGTGCTCATTGAATACTAGATATCCTGTGACCAGAGGAAGATTGAACAATGACTTGTGGGGCGATATCCATGGAATTGGGAAATACTTTCTGCAGTCTCAAAGGAGCTGGCTTCTCATTTCAATTTTGTTGCACTGCAGCTGGCCTTCTAAGTAACCTCTTTTCTTAGTCATAGCCTCTCCCTTAGAAGAAGTCTCTGAATTTTATCAAGTCCAAACTTGGACCGACAACAATGTGAACACTAAGGCATCATAAAGTCCTCATTGTATAACCTGTATGTACAGCACAGGAAATACCCCCAGTCTTTACAAAAGCGCTGTGCCAAGAGGGTATGAGTGATGCATCACACAAGGAACTAGCATTTTGGTTTCACTGGAAGTTAATGCAAGAAACAACTTGATGACTAATAGTAACGACACTGAAGGAGCATCCTTCAGAGGCTGTAAGACAGCTACTCATCTGGCTATCTGAAAAGCTGATTCAAAATAAAAACTGTGAAATGCTAAAGAAAATATATTTGAAATATTTTTTCCACTGGAATTATGTTGCCTAGTAATCTCGGTAAGACAAGTAAGTTAAGCAATCCACAGAAAAATAAATTTATTCCCATGTAAAATGCAGAAATATTATCTTTAATAGAAAAGCAGTTGTGCATTCTTAATTTTCTTGCATTATTATCTAAAGATTGATTTGGGTTTAGTAAAAGGAATTTCCCAGCACCTCATAATCCATCTTAATTTCATTAATAGGAAATTATGCTAAAATTCAGTTCTCACTGAAAATTTAAAAAAGCCCTCACACATGAAAGCATTATTGTCTGTTTGGATAGCACCTGCAGCTACTGGAGTCTCCTTGGATTATTTCATATGGGGCAAATTCATGGTGACGAATATCTAGTTGATTTTGAGATCTTCATAAACTAAATTTATAACAAGACATTAATGACATTAGTACTCTTACACAGAGTGAGCATGACAACTATTGTATCTATTTATTTCAGAGTACTTACATCAATTTATTTATATCTTCATTATAGTATTCAACTTTCAGATAGAATCTCTACATCCCTCCAGAAACATAAAAACCTTTGCTCATATGTGCTGTGTACATTCGCTCTTTTCCTGAAGTAATCTGAAAAAAAAAATAAGAAAGGTGATAGCAACCAGGATGTACTGAGTATGTTAGCTGCAAAGCTGGGCATATTTTTTATGTCAAACATATTTTTCTTCTGTTGCAGTGTTCATTTTTGCCTAAATTCTCCATTCACATAGAGACAAAATATGAGGACAACAAAGGAAGCAATGACAGTGTAAGTATGATGGCATTTGCAGAATTTCATTTAATCCCTGTAGTTAATGATGGTCTGTATCAGGGGGCTGTAGCCCTTTCGGGCTTGGAAAAGGCCTGATGGGGCTCAAGTGTTTGAACCTGCTTGGTGTCCTGTTCCTCAGCAGCTTGTCAGCCTGCAGAGTGGCCACCTCCTGAGCACCATGGGATGAACAATTCATGCACCCAACTTCCCTTCCGCATCTCACAATCTGCTAGTTACCTCTCTAAACAACACAATTTACATATATGAATTTAGTCTACATGAACATTTATGGAAAGTAAAGAAAAGATTATTCTTTTTATTTTATTTTTTTGTGTAATTGTATTCCACTTGATCTGTTCCACTTTATTCTCTCTGAGCATAAGGGGATGAATTCAAAGGAGCTGGTGGGAAGAGCAAACAGGAAACTAAACAATAGCCAGAGATGAGAGATCTCAGTAAACAACTCCAAGAGAACAATGGCTGGACTAGTGAGGTGATTCTTTTGGCAATCACTTACCAAAAGTTACAAAGTTCTCAGAGTTAGAGCTTGGAGATGAAAAGGATAATTAGCTATGCAAAGGAAGGGTGGGAGTGAGAGCCAGCAGCTACGGATGAAGAGACGCTCAGGAGCAGAAGGCAGGAGGTTGGTCAGAAGTTGTGTCCCTGGTAGGAGCAGAGCAGTCACACAGCTTGCAATAAAAGACTAATGTTAGATAAACCCAAGCGTGTAAAGATTCAACCCATGGATAAATGCACAAATAGGTTTCTCTATGTTTCAATTTTTAATGCTTTAAACAGTCGTTTGTTGCAAACTTACGAGAAAAAGTTTCTTACAGGTGGGAAATACAGGTTAAAATGTCTGGAAAATTGATCTGTGACACAGAGACCTAATGAAGGAGTGCTTAAACTCATTCTTACGAAGGACAAAGGTAGTAAAGCAGATTTTAAGGGGTCTGAGAAGCAGAGGCTTTCGGTTTCCAGGGCTTGTCCCTCTTGCAGCCTTGTTAAGGTTAAGGTATTCTGTTTTCCAGATGGAAGGTACATTTCCTTAAGCGCCTTGGGCCTGCGTGTTAATAAGGCTGACAGTTGTTGAGCTGCTTATGGCAGAATAATTACATGTAAAAGAACAAGGTATAATTTTGAATAACAGTTTTGGCATACACTCTTTCCCAATGGGAACATGACAGAGATCATGTATTGGCCACCAGATACCAATAACTTCCAATCACTGCTCCTCTAAGCCAGATCCAGATTGGTGAGAGAGGAAAATAGAAGTGTATTACATTAGCAACTACATGAGTATTATGTAATTTATGCACTTCTTAATGTTCACTTCTGCTTTTTGGCAGCGCTTTAATTCAGAGCAAGCCCACACTTTGGTTTCGGGAGGGTGCAGACTAGTTTTCTGGTACATTCTAATGTCAGCAGTGAGAAGACACATTCTGTACTGATTCCTAACAGAGGAAGAACTGAAGCTATTTAAGCAGTGAATTTTCAATTTTTTTTTTCTGTGTGTCAGCTTTGTGGCTGAAATACTATGAATCAAGCCCTGAATAGTACCCAAGCAGTGAATGTCAGATGAAAGTAACACAGAGGTAGGATACTCAGCTGATGTAAATCAAAGAATCTCTACTCTGCTTGAATCCAGCTCTTCAAATGTATTTTTTACTGGAGTGCCAGTGGGGTAATATTATATTACCTTTATATTGAGGTACCTGAGTCACAGACTAGGCAAGTGTTTACCAAAATTAGGAGATTTAGTTGACCTTTACTTGAACTGAGGAGGAAAAAGAGAGGGTGAATGAGGGCTGCCTTCCAGCCTGAATTCCCTTGATTTTGTAATTCTGACAGTTGTGCTATTGGCTCATATGAACACAATAAACCAATGGAAGATCTACATTTTTTGCTGTTGATCCAGTGCCATCGATCTGGTGATAGAGAGGTTTCTGAGACAGCACTGAACTGCTGGAAAGTTAGTAAATATGGAGAGACCTCAGTGAGCCTGTGGAAAAAATTCTGTTAATCCAAACGCCTCAGAACTGGGGCCGAGAGTCAGTCTTGTTGCTGCTACTCAATGGGTAGGCTTAAACCTCTTTTAATAAAATGTGAAGTGTAAATTCTCCTTCGTATCAGACAGGAATAGATTAAGTTTCACAGTTGCCCAGTCAGAAAACAGGAAACATAGCATCCATTTCTATAGATTTCCATAGACACACTATGTTTTTCTTCATTGCAACTATCAACTTTGGCTGATGAAGAAATAATTAATCCACAAAAAAAAAAACTTCCGTAAATTTTGCAGTTGTAATGCAAAATACTCTGAATTAATATTACAGTAATGAGAGTAATGATGCATGTCTGGTTTTAACTCAACCATTTGTAGATATATTTTTTAAGACCATACAAGTTTTTTGAAATCTTTGAAACTCTGGTCTATTCTTTATTTCCATGGTATCTAATAAAGTAGATATTGATTGTAAAGAGCAATAATTAAATATAAGGATACTAAAGCTAATTCCATTGACTAGTGGAAGAAAGCAATATAAATGCTTTTGGGTTCCTGTTGTCATTTAGCAGGCTGGTGTATTATTAGAATTATTTTATTTAATATGTTGCACTGTCTGGTAAAACTCTGCTTAATTACTGCAATGGATCTTAATGCAAAAGTCTTCATTTTTCTTCCCAACTGTCATGATAGAAGTAACTAGTGAAAGATAATGATATCTACATTGGAAATTGATTTTATTACATCTTAGACTTTGTCATAATTTTAACCTATTTTAAATGTGCTTTAAACACTATTGTTCCAATCTGTTAAAGTTTGCACTTGATTTGCACAAATATAAATGCTGCCAGAAAGACCAATGGACCATAAACCCCTTTATTTAGATAAAACACTAATGAAGTATGTGTAGATGGTGGTAGTGCAGTACCAAAAATCCATCCCGTTGTGATTTCTGGTGCTACAGTGCAGCTGATTTTGCTGTGTTGCATCTAGATGTTCACGTGGCAGCTCTCTTCTTAGAAAAACAGTCAGTGTTGGATGAACGTGTTAGTACATCAAATATTGTCACTGCCACCTTGCAGCTTTGTAGCTTCATTAATAGTGTTAGAAACTAGACTAGTGTTAGAAACTAGACTCAGGCCATTCATTGTTTCTTCTACAGGTCTTTTAAGTAAGTTCTTAGTAAACTTCTTAGTTAAAAGAGAAATTTTATTTTTATTTTACTTTTATTTTAAAGTACAAAATGGAATTTCTAAAAATTAGAATGGCTTGTAAAATGTAAATGACATTGTAGGTGGTATCTGTAAGTGCATGAAAATGTTGCTTCCCTCTTGCATCTTCAGCTGCTTACGTAAGTCAAGTGGGAGCTGCAGGGGAGAGGGAGGTGCAGGTGCCACAACAGAGAGCTTCAGCGAGCGCACACCAGCCAGAAAAGTGCATATTAATCACTCACTGCACACTTTTTTCCCAGAAGAAAAGTTAGCAATTAGGGAATTTGAATGTAGATGTACAAAGTCTATATTTTGAATAGTAAACCCCTATGTTAAATACAAGAGCATTCTTAAGGTTATCTAATTAATGAAACAGTCAGAAATCACAGGCAGGAGTTCTGTAAGTTACTGCTTGTTTGTGGATAAATTAGTCTGTGGTTTTCATGAGCAGACTTTGTTAACCTCTTTTAACAGGCTATTGATTAGTCAGTATTTATGTCACATAAGGCTAATTTTATTCTAGATGGTCTCAGTTTTCTCTCCAGCTCTATTATAATTTCCCTGTACACAACAGACATACATGTTGTTTATTTTTAGTGTTCGTGGGGAATGCACCAACCTAGGCTTTCTGCAGATAAGAGAGGATCCACCACATGGCTCGAGCAGATACTGTAATCAATGCACAGTGATCTCGTGCACTGTGGCTCCGTGTCAGTTCTTACATGCCACAGGCTGGTCCTGCTGAAAATTTCTAAAAGATATCTATAGCTGAAGGTAAAGCAAAGGCAAAGTGAAGGCAGACACTGTTCAAGCAAATCACTGAGTCACAGAGACATTTCCATTTGTGGAAAGGAAGGTGTGGAGTAAAGATTTCAAGTTAGAGTTATATTTCAAGGTGACAAATTATGGGCATCATTGGGCACGTTTTTGTGAGCATATGTCTCAGTAATGCTCATAAAGTCATCACAGTACAGCACTAATTCTTTGTCAATCAAGAGAAAAATAGATTATCAATGTTTCTTGCCTTTCAAAGATAATATAGAGTAGAAAATGTGTGTCTCAGAATGACCATTTGCCAAATGAAAATAAGGGGTAGTTCTGTAGTCCATATAGTTATAAATTAACACCAGTATCACATGACATTAATAGTTTGAGCACACTGAAACCAGCCAGCGAACAGCAGGTATTATTTGATGGGCAACGTATCTAAACTGCAGTGCCATCATTTAAAGTTACAAAATCCTTTCCTGACATTGAGTTCTAATTCTGCAGCCCTACAAGTAACAGAGTATTCAGTATTGGAACATTCATTATACTTCATCCTTAATGGATATTTCTCAAGTGTTGGTTGTGAAATGTTTGATTAAAGTACAATAAAGGTTAGGTACGAGCAGCTAAGAAGCAAAGCTGTTTCTGGTTTTAATCTCTTTAAAGTGTTTTTTTTTCCCCTATTTTTGTCTCCTATCTTAGTAACGTGGAACTGGGTTGTAACAAACTTCAATATAGCACATGTAAATTAATGTAAATTCACTATTTAAGGAAACTGCTGTGAAATACTGATTTCAGCTGCAATAGATTCAGCTGTGTCCTGGCTTAGTCTCACTGCACTACAGGATATTGTTCTGTACGTTGTCTAAAGGGTTGCTGGGGATCACTGCAAAATATATCAAAATCAAAGCCAGGGTCACTTTAAGGGATCATTTTATTTGCACCAGAACCTTTTCTGTACGATGATATTGAGTATCTTGTCTCCTGTATAATCCAGGCAGAAATACTGGCAA